TCCACTGCTGGACATAGGCCTCTCCCAATGATTTCCAGCGGGGACGGTTGATTGCGGCCTGCATCCAACGGTTTCCGGCAACCTTTACCAGGTCGTCCGTCCATCGGGTAAGCGGTCGTCCCACACTGCGCTTTCCAGTACGTGGTCTCCATTGGAGAACCTTGCTGCCCCATCGGCGGTTAGTTCTCCTTGCTATGTGCCCTGCCCATTGCCACTTCAGCGCGCTAATCCGTTGGGCTATGTCGACCACCTTTGTTCTCCTGCGGATTACTGAGGAATGTTTGAATGTATGATTGGTGATGGTTTTATGTAAATTGAGTGAAATATAACGATTATAGTGGAAGAGGTAGCGAGAAATCTCATACTATACGCGGGCGAAGCTGCGTGTGGATGCTAGTTAGTTTATTTATATTACCTTTATGACCTTTACGAGTATTAATTTAAATAAAGGAGATAAGAGCACAAAATTGTAGAAGGATAGATTATTACAACTCAGTTTGTTTTTCTTTCCATCTTAAGTCTGTTTTAACCGACTTCAGAAAAACATAAAAGTTCTCAAGTCGGTTGAATTGTTTTCTTTATTTTACCCGGCTTTGCCAGAAGGAGGATTATGTTTTTCGAGTATATATGTACTCGTATGTATGTGTATTTCTTTGTTCTTCTTGTTCTTGTTCTCTGTACCCTAAACGGCTTCATGGATTTTGACGGAGGTGTCATTATCGTCTCAGTTGTGATGACACTGGGTATTGGAAAATTAAAAAAAAACTCCGGTTCATTATATTTTTCTGTATTTACGAATTCCTAGCAAATCAGTAATAGCAAAGTTTTTTTTTAAAGACAACTCCCGCACTAGGAATATATCCTGTGTCGCGGGGGCCTTAACAAACATACATGAAATGGACACAAAGATGAAATGATTAGACAATAATACACTCCTTATAATTAAGTTTTTATCTAGTTTACACTTATTTTTACACCAGTCTTTATATATTTATACCTCTCCCTACTAGCTGACGTATCTGTCGATTTAGTATTTTTCTATGGACAACATTTATTTAATCGAATCGAATATGTTTATAATGTAAGTGCAAATATGAAACCTTTATCGGAGATCACAGCAAACAGGGGCGGCAAAAATAACTGGCTGTTGTGTCGTGTCAATAACCCGGCTCTGTGAGCTGGCGATATTTAGCCCCTCCTAACAAAATGGTATACCTATTTGTTCTCAATAAATGTCCTTGTTTTCTTTTATATTCGGTTAACAAAGGTCCAACTATAGTGGAAGAGCCAATGGGCCGGCTCGATGGGAGTGATAACACCACCTAACAGAAAAACCGGTGTTAAAAAAATATTTTGTTGCTTTTACCGAGTAAGTGGGGTTCCGGGAGCCTAAACACTCCCTCCCCCTGTTTCTGGAGGGATGACTCAAAGAGCTGGCTGGAGTATTTCAAAATGTACTCTCTATCCAACCGCCCCAAGTACATGATACACTCTTCTTACACAAAATAGCCAATAATAATATCGACTGCAGTGACTTATCAAAACTTTCTGCCAACCACTCTTAAGAACTAATTTAGAACTAAACTCTCCTTTGGTACGTGCATGTCGCCAAAATGTAACTGGGGAGAGGGGAGGAATTAAAGCATTTTATTTAGTTTTGTGGGAGAATGGGTGTCATGTCCCTCCACCACAAAGGGATCCTCCGACCAGGCGCGGTGATCATGCCTGGCGAGTCGCGGTCCAACGGTTGATGTTGGGAAGTTGTATATATGCTAAACGTCGAGAGAATTCTTCATATCGCGATACAGGACTAGCAATTCTCATTTAGGTGTTACTCCGTAGTTCGGTGTGTCTTCGTTAGATGGCGCTGTAGTACGGGAGTCTCCACAGTTTTAATACCTTATAACATCACCTATCATTGTTTATATTGCTATTTCTTTTGTGCATGGTTTCAAAGGCCTACTGGTAACACCTTTACGATGTACCATATGCTATACAATAGCTGTGTTCTGTAAACTCTGTTTTAGTAATCACTTTATGAATATCAAAAGCTATTCAGATATTCGTGGTGTTACTATTAATGTGACGATATTATACATGCGAATTATTTATCAGATGTATCGGAATCACCTTTGTATTAAACGGTCGTTGACTCTGGAGCAGCAGAAATAGTTTACAACGATTACTGAAATATGGATGATAGATAGCAATAGAAACTACATACGCAAATATTTTTATGTAGTAAATAAAAATCTTCAATCCCTCCTATTACAGGCGTAGAGTGGCACACCGTATGGTTTTAGTCGGTCCGATTCCGACACACCACCCCGCCGTAAAACCCCGGTAGGGTATGATTTGGTAGGATTTCGCCAGCTTTTTTATCCCGAAAAGTGAGGAAATTTCATCTTCATCAATAACCTGTAATAGTCCCATGCTGGACATAGGCCTCTCCTTTGAAAGGAAAGGAGGTTTTAGCCTACTATACCACGATGGCCGGGTTGGTATAGGGTTTGTTTTAAGTTTTCCTTCTCTTTGCAGTGCCGTTGTCCTGCGTTTTTATGTTCAATGCGCCTTGGTCATGATGAATTTATGTCCTTGTGAGTGATATTTTTCTTTCGAATTTAAACGGAAAGTTTACTTTTTGAAATAAAAACAAAAGAATTTTCAACATCAGTTTCTGAGATAACAAACAAAAAAGAAACAACCGAACTGACAATCTAATCTTTTTATTGAAGTCGGTTAAAAAGAAAAATATTTATAGAATTACCTTGAGTATTTATATTTTAAGATGATGTTTAATACTCAAAGCAAATACGACCTTCAAACCTTCAAGAAAAGAGCGTACTCCTTCCTAAAAGGCCGGCAACGCGTTTGTGACTCCTGAGTTGCAGACGTTCATGGGCGGCGATAGTCACTTTCCATCAGGTGACCCGTCTGCTTGTTTGCTCCATCTAACATAAAGAAAGTTAAGATGGTACTCGGTGAACAAAGAAGTGAGGCCAATTAAAACTACGCCTTAGCGTGTACGTACCCAATTACATGGACACACATACAACGAAACTACGCCTTGTCAGTCAAAACCTCATCAAAAATGTCTACAATATTTATAAGTAAAAATGCCGAGTTGTGTTTTGAAAGGGTATAAAAATCAAACTACAAGAGACAGTAGTAGTAGGATGAAATCGCATTTCAAGTAGAAACCAATATTTTCAATAAAATAACATTATGATAGCAGCACCGGCCCCACTCACCATGTTTATAAAACCGGCCTCATTTCGTTCTACGTAAAGTTCCATCTTAACTTTTTTAATTTATCTGAGACTTGTAGACTAAGAGTTGTGATATCATCTCACATCATCACATCAACAGCCTTTAATAGTCCACTGCTGGACATAGGCCTCTCCTTAGAAAGGAGGTTTTGGCCTACTATACCACGCTGGCCAGACGGGTTGGTATAGGGATTGTATCCAGTTTTCCTTCTTTTTGCAGTGCTGGTGTCCTGCGTTGTTTTGCGCCCTTAGTCGCCTCTTACGACACCCACGGGATGAATTGGGGTAGTGACATTCCGTATTCTTAATCCGTCACTACACGGATGTCATCTACAAACACCAAAAAAAAAAAACAATCAGCCGGTAATTTACCACCTACTCCGGTGGTACCACTTCAACCATTACCTACTCCGGAGAGATGTCTCCCGTTGGTTGCCACTTGATAAAAGCGGGTTTTCAAATCAATCTAAAATTGAAAAAAATACTTTTAAAAGTCGTCAAGAACCATTTTTTTTCTGTTGACTGTAATATTATTCATCCGTATGTATGTATAGTCTCATACATATCTATGAAAGCATTTCAGTTTAGCAATGTAAAACCGTTCAAGGATTCTCATGTCGAGTTCAATGACTGAGCCAGGCCGGGTTCACGAATTGGTTACTAAGTCAGTTATTCAGTAGTAGGTATTGTTTGGGAACAAAACTAACAATGTTTATTTTATCTCGTACACAATTTGGCATTATTATTGTATCTACGTTTTATGTTACAAATATTAAGTAAGTTTGTAAGGAATATCACTTGAATGTGGTCCACATACTGTGTGTTACAGAATGATTAGTGATTGAGTGAATGTCTACCTCGGTATTTAAAGAATAAAGAAAATGTGTTAACACGATCTTTAGTAATTCAAAATAAAGAGAATCATTTAAGGAATATATACAACTTTCTACATCTCAAATTCTTTCTACCCATCTTGATTTATAGATGGGATGATGGAAGAAGGTAAATCTAGGATAGGAAAAAGAATAGAGCCAGTGAGCTAGCCAGCCTAACCGTTTCTCGACTTATTAACCCACTACCGTGACCGCCGGATTTACGCACTAAATGTGTAACAAAAGAGTAGATTCTTATGTTTGAAATGAATACTTTGATTGAATCAAAAAGTACACAATTAATCGTCTGTGATTTTTAAATTAATTCTTCAAATTAAAATTAAATGATTGGAAAATAGCTAGTTTTGACGTCACACCATAGTATTAATAAAAATATACTGATTTGACTTGACAGTGATCTGTCCTATCTGAAAGACTAGTTGCTTGATTAATACTTAATTTGAATGCTTGTGATTTGTTGTATTACAAGCCACACAGTTTTTCTATTAAATTTAATGTATAATTCTGTTTTATTCATTGTTAATTTGACTATAAAAAATTCAAAGTCAATTTCAGATTATTTCATCGCCTTTAGTAAGAAGGAAATATTTATATCTGAAAGGTTGGGCAGAGGTGTATGATTTCGTCAGCTTTTTTATCCCGAAAAGTGTTTTTGTTCCATTAGACGCCTCTTAAGACACCCATAGGATGAATAGGGGGCATAAAAATCGTATTCCGAATCTGTCACCACATTTGGACATTTACAACAGATATAAGACACGTACTGGAATATCAGGGATTCTGTTTACCTGATCCATTGTGATTTTAGACATCTAAAATAAAATATGTTTCTTTGCAGGTTGGATACGCACTTCGAAATATCCTCGGAAATAATGGATTCCCCGTATGGAGAGGTTACGAAACGAAAGTGAACATGTCCTCCCGAGGAAGTTTAGTCACAAAAGTGCTAGTTTTAGTAAAGTTATGTGTTGATCGTGTTGGGTTTATATTTTAATTGTTATAATTAAATCAAGAGAGCTACTTTATTCTGATATTGGTTGGTGTTTTCTTTTATAGCATAAACTTGGGCGAAGTATTGTCATGTTTTTGTGAGTCTGGCAGTGGGAAACCGTGCATAAGACTCTATCTGTAGAAGTCTGTGTACATTTGTGTGGGTACTCTATTTAAACCTCGACATGAGACTCTTCTTGTTTGAAACATAGTGAAAGAGATGTAGAGATCTGTGAGACCCTTTGTGTGAGAGACTTTTTGTGGGAAATAAAGAGTTTTCATACATAAGACATATCGTATTAACACGTGGCTAATTGTTTAGTTCAGTGGAAAAGATAACCTTGTAAAAAAAGCATGCAATGCAAGCTTGTTAAAAATTTGTAACTATGTATAAATCTTTGAACGTAATTTTAATCTAAACGGCTGGACCGATATCTATAATATTGTGCTACCGGGTAGCTGTCTACATAAAGAAATAGCTTAGGCTATTTAATCTCAGAAAAACCCTTTAAATTCGCGTCGAACGAAGTCGCGGGTACCAGCTAGTTGTTAATAATGTTAATATTAGACTTTGTATTTGGGATATGTATTTTCGATGACAGTTATACAACTTTTAAAGCAGATTTAATGATGCAGCCAAGAGTTATTTTTGGAACGAAGTTCCTTATCGCGCGTTGTGTAAGGGGGCTAGACGGAAAAAAATCTCACGAAAAGTTGAAGTTGAAAAACGACACTTTTTATGTCAGTCATTCAGCGCCATCTATCGAATAGATAGGAAATCATTACTTTTCATCTCAGTATTTATTTTGAATTGTCACTTGTCAGTCATTCAGCGCCATCTATCGAATAGATAGGAAATCATTTCTCAAGGAGATTTGACCAATGTAAAAATTGTTTTAATTAGAAACCAACTGAAAAATATGTAGGTAATAGCCGCTTTCATAGATGGCGTTGTAATTAAAATCGTGTCGAGTCAGTTTTACTCGATCGTCACAACTTCGTTCCTATCGGGTGTCCCTCGACACCACACGGCTTTTTTTACCTATTAATTACGTTTAATTTCAAACATGCTTTAAATCTTTATTTTATATATGTTGTTATACAGTAGTCACTTGAGAGGTTCATATCGGATAGATAGATAGTAAAACTACATTTTTTGGAACTCAAAATCAAATATCTTTATTTCATTTAAAAAAAAATTGTAATCTTCTCTTGTGTAGAATGTCATAGATCAACACGCACAGTAGCAACAATGCCTGTTTTGTCAAATATTTAGCCTAAATATATGCCTGTGCCGATCTACAACTGCCCATTTCCAAGGGGTTGAGCCTCATGAGAAGAAAGGGAAAACAAACTCATGGCCACTCTTTTTGAATCAACAGATAACAATGACATCTTAATGATATACACAATTTTTTTTTTAAGTTTTAACTAAGACTAAAATTAAAAAGGCAATGAAGAGAAAACAAGATTTAAAAGGTTAAGAAAACCCCTTGATTATACAGTTGGAGAAACCTAGACATTGTCTTAGCTTAAATATAGAAGATTTACATAGAAACTGATTATTATTAGCACCTTACTAGAACCACGATAAATATCCAGTCATCATCAACAGCCTTTAACAGTCCACTGCTGGACATAGGCCTCTCCTTAGAAAGGAGGTTTTGGCATACTATACCACGCTGGCCAGACGGGTTGGTATAGAGTTTATGTCAAGTTTTCCTTCTCTTTGCAGTGCTGTTGTCCTGCGAAGTTTGCTCGCTTAGTCGTCCAGTAACACTTTATAATTATAAAACAATAGCGCCAAGCGGCAGTTTAAATGTCCAGTGTTATCGCTCACGCACACTCCTGACTGTCCGGCTATTCCTCTCCCCGGTGTCCGGCGTCCGGACAAGCGTCCCATCTGTCTTGTTGATGGACGGCCTGGGGATAATCTTCATGCTTGTTGATTCGAAAGGGCCGCTTAGAAAGGGTACTTTGTTTGATTTGATTAATACGTATTTAGGTATTTGTGATGAGACAAGTGATGATGCCGTCAACATGGCTTTTGTGCTTGGGTATATTTAATCCATATTGAAAAGGCGGCTGCCTAGTAGGTCCATTTTTTTAATTCGTTATTTGTTTAATATTAGCCAAATAAAAACAAATTCTTTGATAAAAATTATGTTGGTTTTCCAGGTTTAACAGGTTTCCTTACACTTTTTTCATGAATTTAGCTGCATGAAGATTGTTTAGCTTAAATTAATTCCTAAAAGTCGGTTTCAAAATTTTCGTCTGTCTGTCTGTTTATTTGTTAGCCCAAATTTTTAAAACGGCTGGACCCATTTTAGGAGTAACTTAGGCTTATTATTTAGACGAGAATATTTTAAGAAAAAAAGGAATTAATGAAATTAGGGATAAAAGCCGGTTTTTGTATATTTCTAAATAAATACGTTATAGATAAACATTTTTATATCAAACTAGCTCAATAGTAATAAATTTTCTCCGTTTTTGAAACATTCATTGCTGCTCCGCTCCTATTGGTCTTAGCGTGATGATATATAGCCTATAGCCTTCCTCGATAAATGGGCTATCTAACACTGAAATAATTTTTCAAATCGGACCAGTAGTTCCTGAGATTAGCGCGTTCAAACAAACAAACAAACTCTTCAGCTTTATAATATTAGTATAGATACCACGTGGACGAAGTCGCGGGTATCTGCTGGTTTCTACATTTATCGTTAAGTATGTCAGAAATGACGTACTCCCGTGTGCCATGTTTAGAAAGATGTAAAAAAAAAAAACTTCGCGTATTACATAAATATATTGATTACCAGCTGTACTCTGCCACGTTTCGTTGTGGTACATTGTGGTTGCTTTGATAAGAAATATATATATATAAAATAACTAGCTGACCCGGCAAACGTTGTTTTGCCATATACATTATTAAAAAAAAAATGGGGTATGAAAAATTGATGTTAGGCGATTCTCAGACCTACCCGGTATGCACACAAAATTTCACGAAAATCGTTGGAGCCGTTTCGGTGGAGTTCAACCACGCACACCGTGACACGAGAATTTTATATATTAGATACTAGCTGACCCGCGCAACTTCGTCTGCGTCTCTCAATAGTAATAAATTTTCTCCGTTTTTGAAACATTCTTCATTAGTGCTCCGCTCCTATTGGCCTTGGCGTGATGATATATAGCCTATAGCCTTCCTCGATAAATGGGCTATCTAACACTGAAAGAATTTTTCAAATCGGGCCAGTAGTTCCTGAGATTAGCGCGTTCAAACAAACAAACAAACAAACTAACTCTTCAGCTTTATAATATTAGTATAGATTTGAAGCGGTTTGTATATCGTGTTAGATTTTAGTTCAACCGCTGCTGAAATTTTCGAGTTTTTCCAGCGTACACAAACCAACTTAACATTTTATATACAGACTAGCTGGTATCCGCGATTTAGTTCGCGTGGAATTTTGAAAGCGCAGCCTTAGTGGGTTCGACCCGGACCGGGCAAAATTTCATAGGGGTTTTCTCAGAGGAAAAATAACCTAGGTTACTCTTTATATAGACAGCTACCTGTTAGTAAAATATTATCAAAATCGGTCCAGCTGTTCAGAAGATTGCCCGGTACAAACCGGTTTTTAGGCATAGATATCGTCCAAATAACCGTGTGCGCATGTGTGAGCATGAAAAATACCTATTATTTTGACATTACAAACAGACACTTCAATTTAATTTATTTGTATAGAAAGATTAGAAAGTCTGAGTTTATCAGATGCATTGCATCTAATAAAATACGAGAAATGAAATTGTTTTTAAACTCGATAGAAAGTGCCTTTGATCAAGTTTAGAAACTGAAAGTAATTTCCCGATGTAATTATGAGTGTATTATCAGAGGCTGATATCTGAAGTAGTAATGGTGGATATAAATCGGTGGCCATGTTTATTAGTAATTGGTTATGTGGTATAATTGTAGCCCCGGCATAGGAAAGCGCCAGGCGGGTACGTGTTAGGGCGGGGGTGCATTGTTGCACGACATTTTTTTTGGTGACATTGTTGACCGACAAAACGGTTTTAGGCACTGCGATTTCATCTTTTTTTTTTCTGTGCGGCAATCCCCTCGGATACCACTTACCGGTGACTATGTCGGACTCGAACCGACTAAAAACCGCACGCCTTCTCGGGTACCAGTAGCTGGATAACCAGGTGTACCCTAAAAAGGAAATCATTGGTACCCCGACGTACCTCGGGGCATTTACGGCGGGTAGATGACCTCCTCCTGTGTGGGAACCCCCATGTTCCCTTGGTGCTCCCAAAAGGGCACGCGCGCTCCGCAGTGCGTCTCGTCGACATCCCGGCCTGCTTCTGCTTAGGTGACAGATGGCCTCACCTGTCACCCCCAGGCCTGCGCCTATGGAGGACTGCACTGCGATTTCACCTGCGATGACTAGAATTTGGTCATAGACAAAGATAAAAGATGAAACTTAAGCAACCTTTTTCTTCGGATTTAGACCTTTTGCGACTCTAGCCTAATAATAATCACAAGTAGCAGTAGTTGTGTATTTTAGATGCAGGTGTGATTATATGATTTATTAGTCATATGATTAATAACAGGTGGTTATGATTTTATTCCATCCCTAAGTTATCCCTAAGTTGTCCGTGTGGTACGGGTTAAGAATACGGAATGTCATCCCGTGGGTTTCGTAAGAGCCGACTAAGGGAGCAAACTACGCAAGTCAACAGCACTGAAAGCAGCAGGAAAACTTGACACAAACCCTATACCAATCCGTCTGGCCAGTGTGGTATAAAAGGCCAAAACCTCCTGTCTAATAATAATAATATTTTCGGACGTCTAGCACACAACGCCATCTAGTTTCAAACTAAGCAGAGCTTGTACTATGAAAGCTAGATGGACTGATAGAATACTTTTATA